GTCTTGTTCCTGATTTTAGCATTAAGGATTTAAGTTTCTGACCATTTAGTGTGATATTGGCTGTTGGTTTTTCATAGATGGCATTTATCAGGTTGGGATAGAGACTGTCTATTCCAATTTTCTGTAGATTTTTTATTATGAATGGGTGTTAAATTTTGTTGAATGCTTTTTCTGTACCTATTGAGATGATCATCTGGTTTTGTCCTTGGCTCTGTTAATATAGTGTATTACATTTATTGATTGTGTATGTTTAAACATTTCTGCATCCCTGTGATAAATCCCACTTGGTCAGGGTATATGATCTTCTTGATGGTCTTCTGCATTTTGTTTGCCAGTATCGTATTAAAGATTTTTGCATCTATGTTTATTAGGGAAACTGGCCTATAGTTCTCTTTTTCAGGTGGGCCTTTCTCTGCTTTTGGGGTCAAGGTGATGTTTGCTTCCAGGAATGAATTTTGGAGTATTACTTCCCTTTCATCCAGTGAAAATGTTTATGGTCTTTGACTCAGTGGGGAATATTTTGCTCACTTTTTCCCCTCAGTCAATTTTACTCAAGATCATGCTCTTTTTTCTAGTTGGCCTCAAATTTTCTAAATATAATGAAAACTTGGTCTTGTATGTTGATAGTATACATGGGTACTTCTCTGCCTGGAAGGTCTGTGCATAGTTTTTAGTCCTAAACTACTTAATGGATCTCTACTTATTAAACAGAGCTTTGCCATCTGGCTAAAATATTGCACCTGAATGCTTTCACTCTGGACAATATATTTCCAGGTTTGACAGTTTAATGGCTTTCTCATCCCTATCTCAAATTCTCTCCCTTCTGCAATATAGGACAGAGATTGGCCCAGCAAGTTTCATTTTTTATCTGGCAGAAAGCCTCCTGACACTTAAAACTCTGTGATTCAGGTTCATCTGGAGAAAACTAGACATTTGCTGAAGGTAACATGTATTTTTTTTTCAGTGCTGGGGATCAAACCCATAGCCTCATATATGCTAAGGTAAGCAGTCTACTATTGAGATATATCCTCAGCCAAGATAATAAATTTTTGTTTGCATATTAATTTGGGTGAATGACTTAATAAACTTGAAAATTCAGGAAGTGTAACTGGGAAAATAATTTAATCTTTTGTATGTGGATTATGGTCACTTTTTTTATGGTATTGTTTCTGCTGCTGCCTATAAATTATAAGCTACTGCACATACAAAGTTCATACATGAATCTGTTTGAAGCTGAAGGATAATTCTGGTATTGGTTAATATATACAAGAAATGCTGATCTGTAATAATGGAAAGCTTTGATGACTGAAAAGTATTATAATCCCCTTTCCAAAAAAATGTAATGTAATGCTGTCCATTAGAGGAGGGCAGAATGGGCCCTGAGTTTCAGCAGAAGTTCCAGATGCATTTATTGAGTTTAAACTCAGTTCAGAGCAGTGAGCCTGGGAAAACTATTTAAAGATATGCACAGTTGTCAGAAGAGCCAAAAGAATGAGGACATCACAGCATTTTCGGTTCTTTCATATGTTATCTTTACAATCTTTGTCCAATAGACCCACTCCATCACCACGTAGATAACTATAAATTTGTAGAAATAATCATTAAGATCAAGAAGAAAAATAATTAAGGATCAAATAGTGTGATTACTTAAAAAATCAGCTAGAATAAATAAATAAAAGATTTTGGTTAAATATCAAGATGACAACTCTCAGGCCTTCCAAAACTACCTTTCTTCTTGTGGGGCCCGACTGCATGGTTTCAGATGTAACCACAAGTGTGAGTGCCACAGTTTGCTGCCAGGGAGCTACCACCCAGCCCAGGCAGCCATCACGTCCTCTGTTCTCTTATTTAGTGTGAGGCTGCTGTTAGACATACTTCATCAAACTGAAGGTTAAAGATATTTAATTATGTAATAGTCATACCTCTTCCAACTACTGAACCTTTGTAGTGTGTCATTTCAACAGGATTCCCTTTGCATTTCCATGGAGAGGCTATAGACTTTCCAATATACAGTCATGGAATTTCTGCTGGTACCTACATGTGTTCCCCAGAAGTGTGATCTGTCTGCTTAATTTCCCATTACACATTTTCTTTTCTCATATGTGCCATCATCCTACAGAACTTTTTATTTTTCACACTCAAAACATAATATCATTAATATTTAAAAGAATAGCTGCTGGGAGTAGTGGCTCATGCCTATAATCACAGCACTCTTGGAGACTGAGGCATGGGGATCACAAGTTCCTTTGAGTTTTAGCCTGAACAACTTAGTGACTTAGTGAGACTCTATCTCAAAATAAAAAATAAAGAAGGGCAAAAGACATAGCTCAGTGTGAAAGCCCTGGGTTCAATCCCCATTAGTACAAAAACTCCCACCCCCCCCCAAACCTCCACAAAACAAATCACAAAAACCAAAACCAAAATCCAAGCAAAAAACCCCAAAGCCCTCTAATATTTATAGCAGTTTTAGTAGTATCGGTCTTAACATCTTCATTTCCCATATAAGAAACTAAGATTTAGAGATGAGGTCTTCTAGTTTGAATGTGGCAGCACTACATAGAACTTAAAATTAGTTCTGTATTAATCTAAAACCTAGTCTCTTCCCTATGTCACTTTATGATATGACTTTGCTTTATTCTTTCTTACACAGGAAAAAGTAGAAACGAAATTTCTAATAAAATACTATGGTCTATGGCCAAGAGTTTGGTGTATTAGAGTGACTTACTAATTTCCAGAGACTAAAGTGAATAATGAATGGGCTCATTGAGAGTTTCAAAGTGATGTATAATGATTTGTCAAACACCCCAGTCTGAACTGAATGGTAGAAAGTGAGCCAGCTGACATAAACCCAGCTGGACAGAAAGCTGCCCACAGTTTAGATGGCTGATTTTGTACAAGTCAACTTGCTTAGAGTGTAGGATAGGAACATCTGACTCAACAAAGGGACTGACCACTTGAAAAGGTCTATGGTTCTTAAAAAATCTCAGAGATTTGACCAAGGAAGTAGAAAGCAGATTTAGCTTGGCATGTGAAGCTGACAATTGAAAACATTTCAAGTATGCAACCTAGAGTTGTTTTACCCCTCCAAAAATGGACTAATATGGAAATCATGCTGCAGAAAGACCCCCCCGGAAGTTCTTCACATTACTAAGAGTATCATTCCTTCTCATAAGCTAAATGTACATGCAGCACAGAAATAAAGCATTCTAGTTATGTATTTGTTGAAGATTAAACCTGTACTGGAATTTTATAGCATCAATGGGAGGAGAATATAAAAGAATTCATTGAGTCAAAGTGCAAGTACTATTCTGTAAATGCTTAGTCTGAAGATTAACTGACTTGTCAAGCCAAGGATTTAGCTCAGTGGCACTGTGCCTGACTCACAAGCACAAGGTCCTGAGTTTGATCCCCAGCACCTCCCCCCAAAAAGAAAAAAAGGGTAAACTGACTAGTCAAAAACTAGAACCAGCTGGCTTTATAAGAAAGTATATCCATGCTATTGTATTTTATCAGCATAGGCATAAGTTACTTATTCATATTGATGCCTTCATTTAAAAAGTAGTAGAAAATCCACTACAAAAAATGAAATCAGAGCATTTTATGAAAGTTTAGCAGAACATAAAATTATCAGGCTTATGAATTCAGAATTAAATGCTCTTTTTCCTAGATTCTTCTTCTACTTTGAAGTACTTCTAACAGCAAAAACTTACCATACTGTCATTCTAACCTTAGACTTCCAACCTTCAGACCATTAGATAAATTTGTATTGTTTATTAGCTTTCCAGTATGTGGTACTTTGTTATAGTAGCCGAAACTGTTTTAGACAATTATTCATTTTATGGCTAAAATGAATGTGATTATAAAGTAAATATCAAGCACATTAATATTCTCTGAATCCTCTGTTTATAACCTGAATTCTGGGGTGAAGGTATAGACAGAGGCCAGTCCTTTCTGCCTCCTGAGCTGGCCTGGCTTCTCTCTTCCATGTTGTGCCATGGCACTTTATACATAGAGCTAAATTAGCATATACTACTTGTATTTATACCTTCATGTCTTTCAGTAATCAGGAATATTTGAAGGCCAAGGTTAAATCTTATATCACATCCTGCAATGTCCTTTCCCTAGTTACTTTATTCATATTAGTATTAAGCAACTGTTATATCTCTTGATACTTTAACATTTGACCTATTTTGGGTGGGAGGAGGAGGGAGGAAGAAGTAAGTTTGAACAAAGTAGGAAGCAGAGGAAATGAGGATGGTCTAGCTCCATTTGGCTCAGGGTACTGTTTTCATTTCCTATTGTTAAAGAAATGAGTACCAAAGAACTGACTGTTGAAGAGAGTTTTGGAGATTCTGGTTGGGAGGGTTTTCTTGGAGGCCCTGTGGAAGTGAGGTATAGATTTGGGGGAGGAATGTGTATGCAATCTACAGACTAGAAGCTTTGGAGCTCTAAAGGAAGTTCTCTTGGCGACATACTAGAATTCTTAAGCCAGCAGAGCCTAGGTGAGGCTTCTTGAGCCTGAGGAAGTACTTATTCTGTGGCAGCTATAAGCAGCTGAACTTCTCCTTGAAGTTCCTGGGAAGTTGTTGGCCATTCCAGCTTGTTGTCATGAAGTGGGTTAGAGAGCTTCTGATCCAGAATTTCAGATGGATCAACAGCTATGTATTGTGCCTGTCTTTACTGTGAGAAGTGATATTCTGGTGGGCACTATGTTAGGGGCTGGACTGTTCTGATTACAGGAAAATCCAAGAGAATGTAGTGGTGTTGGAGGGGATATTACACCCCATATTAGCCAGACCCTCTTGTATTTTGGAGTAAATGGCAAAGAAACAAAAAAACTCAGATAGTAATTTCTACAGAGAATAACACTGAGCCCCCTGGAGGCACAAATGAACAAAAACACAACAACAAAAAGACTTTCTGTCATGGCTTTGGTTTCTATGAAAGTGATGTGAAGGGTAATAAACAGTGAGTTATCATCCTTGTAAGCTTTGATTGAAACTATTTGTATTAATCAGTATCTTACCATATATATGAGTATATGAGAAATCAAATTGAAAACGGAGAAGTACAGGAAATGAAGAAACAGAGTGACTCAGATATCAGCAACACAGGAAATGTACCATGAGAGACACAAGGGAGCAAGGGAGGGGTATTTTTATGGGACTATAGGGCTGGGGAATTTGAAACTCCAGTTGGCCTCTCTTGCCATGAAGTCATGCTAGAGACACAGCCCAAGGGAGAAACAGGTAAGAATATACTCAGGCTTTGCATTTTCTCCTGTTCTTATCTTTGCAAGATGCCTTTTATTAGCTAAAGCCAGAAGCTCACTGGGGACTTGAGGAATACATCTGAAGGGGTGAGTATCTCCTTGAAACTGAGTAGACCAGGGGCAAGAGGGAAATGAGGAGCAGCGTATTCTTTATAGTAGTCTGTTGGGTAATATGATAGAAGAAAATTGTGTATGTGTGAAAGTGCATGTGAGTGCATGTGTGTGCATGTGTGTGTGTGTGTGTGTGTGTGTGAGTGATATGGAGTAGTGATTGAGAGGGTGTCTGAAATTCAGAGAAATTCTTAACTTTACTGCCAGAAGAACTGAAGTTTATGCTGGCTTGATACTCAATTTTCAGACCAAGGGATCATGTTCAATATGAATTCATTTTACAGACTTTAATAAACTTAGAATCTGCCACTAGCTCATATGGGCTTATCTAAGACTATATTCCAAGTGAGAGTAGCAGATAGATTTTTATTCTAAAATTTAGAAACAACCAAGCAATTAAGTGGTGTTTGGTCTTTACACTGAAACAGTTTTACTCACTTCTCACTATGGTAATCATGGACGAGTTACACTCAGAGGAAGTAGGTGTGTTTATGTACTTTAATTTATTCACGATGTTGTCACCAGGGATGGGCAAACTTATTTGTACAAAATACAAATTGGCATAAAGGCTTACATAAAAATCAACTATTTAAGGGCTGAAAGTGTTTAATTAGCCTTTTTTCTTTTTTAATTTTCATATGTCTCTTGCTTTTTCCATTTTCAGCCAAGAGAGACAGTACTGAAATGTCATTAAAAAATGTTGATTTTGCCCTTAAGAACAGGAAATGCCTAGAATTCTGCTAGTGAAAGGGTTTGTATGAAATTCCTCATGTAATTTGTATAATGAAGGGGATTAAATATGTTCAGATGAGTATCCAACTTTGGGAAATTTGTCACTATGATGCTTCAGATCCATTGACATTTCCCCAAAATATTTCCTCTCCCATATGTCAGAGAATTACACTCAAGATCAAGTAATGAGGATAATTGAGTCTATGCAGGTTTTGGATTTCATACTACTTTGAATGTGAAATAGATTAAATAGAGAGGACACTTGAGAAGTAATGAATTCCAACAATAATATCAATTGTTGTAAAAAAAAAAAAAAAGGACAAGCAAGTGAGTTTTTTACAGCATTAAAGTGATATCAACATTTTCTTCTTTAAGAGGAGAGACATTTGGGCTAGTAGGAAATAACAGTGCACTCTCTGAATACTCTCAGACTACCTAAATTGACTTTTGGCTTGCATGATGAACTTCTTGTCATTCAAATCATGGAACTAATTTAATAATAGTTTCAGAAAGCAGTGTCATATAATGGCCAAAATTAAAAATTGTGCCGTTCTCATGTCCTCCTTATATAATGGGAAAGAATTACCTCTTTTTTTGGTTTTTAGTTACTTGAGACGTTTATACTTGCCCAACCTGAAGATCATTTTATTGGTTTAGTCAACATTTGGGGGTGGGCTAAAGCACACTAAGATTTGCGAATTATGTTCCAGTAACTTTGTAAGGTGCTTGGCAATGCTTGGAGGAAGAACAGGCCTTGTTCAGTGGACAAATGGATGGCTGACTCTTTCACAGCCACAGGCTGCTCTCAGTGATTAGAACTGGGTGCAGATAATATGTGGCAGGAGTCCTGGCTTGGAGAACCTAGCTGGGCTTTGGAGTAGAGTAGGGCATTGCCTGTGTATTCTCAAATCCAGTCCCTATCCTCTTGTCAGTACTGCAGAGAAGCTATCTATGTTAATTATTTCCAATCCTTCCTGTCAATCACATTCTTCCTAGTATTGGCACTGGAAGACATGGACATGAGACAAGAAGGTGAGAGGGAGAAATAATCAGGGTACTTCTCTCCACCTCTCTCTCTTTTTTTAGAGATTTCTAGTAACTTTCTTCTGTGGAAATCCTGCCAGGTAGCTTGTTCTTCCATGGCTCAAACTCCCACTCTCTGAGCCTGTGGTGTGCCAGCTTCTACCTTGTCTCTAGCTTCTGAGATCTAATGACATCATATCCTGTCTTGGTGCATCCAGCTTTGGGAATTATAGGAGTCTCTTGCAGATGGATATTCCCCAGTTGGTTGCTTTCCCTATCAATATTTGTTCTTTGGGCTCTTCTAACACCTATGTGTCTGGTATCCCAAGGTAAACTCCCTCTATTGAGTTACTGGGTATAGGAATTTTGTTCCTTGCTGCTTCAAGAATGATACAGAACCTAATGGGTGTAAGTTAAAGTCTATATTTGACCCATTATGAACAGAATACTAAAAGTATCCAAGGCCATTTCTCCAAAAATTGTAATGGAAGTTTAAGAAGATTCCTATCATGGTACTAAGCACATTGAAAGCATCCAGTAAAGTTAACTCTTAAGCCTATGATTAAAGAACTGCAACACTGCTCTCTAAACTATTTAATACAGAGAATCCTAGGGAAAGAAGAAAGGCATCATGATTGTATGAGTAACATGTTCTTTTAAGAGGGTGTGTGGGTTGTTGAAAGGTCATGAAATACAAATTGGAGTTGTTTGAACATACTGTCTATGGAGAAGATCAGATTGTCTGGGAGAAAAAGATCACACAAGGGTGTATTCTAGGGAAAGGATCAATTGGGAGACGAAAGTAAATGTTGGCTGAAAGACCTGGAGGCATGCCCGTGGAACAAGAAGGGTAGCCATCAAGTAGTTACAAAAGCTGAAGGCTCATAAGGATAACTTCTGGCTGTGTAAATTCTCAGTGGATTAGTGCAAACCCAAAATATCAAGAGAGAATAGTCCCTTGTGTATAAGAAAGCAATGCTGTTTATCCCTCATTGCTACAGTTTTGCTAATGTACTTTCAACACAGTATCAGAACTTTTCCATGTCATATCTAGGGATTTTATATGGAAACCTGGTTAAATAGAAAAACCTTGTAAGCTTACACCTGTTCACAGGACCACATTCAAAGAAAATCTTTTTAACTGACAAATTTCAATTAATTTAGATGTTTTTAATATCCTTTACTGAAAATATCACATATAGAAATAAAGTTTATTAGTGTGATAGACATGAAATTTATGATATGATGGATCCATTTGTATAAGTTATGGTGGAAAAAGACTGGTTAACTTTGGTAAATGTATTTACAGTGTAACATGAGGTAGTAGGTGCACAATTATGCTTGTTGAGTTAAATGTGTATTAAATCGAAGCACTGACAATATGAAATGATATATTTTCCAAAAATTTCACAAGACAATCCCACGTAACAACAATACATTATGAAATAGTAAGTTTGATACTACAAAATAAGATACAAATATAAGATATTATTGTTATTCTAAAAGTACCTTGAGTACCATAGCAAAAGTTGTTGGCATTAAATCATGAATCATGTTTTTAATCTTGCAACAAAGGGAATATCAGGTATTTGTATCTTTGATTTATATTTCAGTAAATGATGGTGTAGTATAGAGGTCGTGGAAAATATAAATCCGAAGCAGACTTGAGTCTGTTTTTTATGATACTGAGTTTGGGTGGAATGGAAACATTCCATTTTAAAAGTATTATAGCAAACCTCTTTCTTCATACAATAAAACATATAGGTTGAGTCTGCTCTTTACAGCACTTGCTCTTTTCTGGCCACAGAGAGCAAGGGGATCATCCTAGATTCCCTGCCCCAACTGGCTCATGTTATCTTCATCCTTAGGCTAAATATGCTACCAAGTTGGTACCATATACCAACTGTATATGCAGTTGCTTTGGGTTCAGTGCCTGACAAGGGAAACCCCATTATTTGCACAGAGAGAGTATTTGTGTCACTTACTACAATGGGCAGCTGCTACATTTGCTATTAGGTTAGACTGCAAGAAACTTCTCACTCATAAGGGTACACTCATCAAGAGTCCTGGGACTATTTGGAAATACAGATTTGGGAATAAACACATGTGGAAAGTTCAAGTCAGAAAAAAATCCCAATAGTTCAGTCTTATTTACATAGAGGTTAAAGTTAATAACATTTGGTTAACCACCACTTTATGAAATCTTCCTTTATGAACTTAAACTATTTCATAGGACTCCTTTGCTAATTTTTTCTACCTTACCTTTTTCAATACTCAAATAAACTACCCTAAGAAGGGGGATAATTTAATATGCTGCCTAGACAAAGCTGTTGTTTTATGTTGGAAAAACAACACAGAGAGTCCTAAATGAAAATAGAATAGAGATCCTTTCAAATATACCAATATATTGAGATTTTTAATTTTCAATAAATTATCTTGAAAAGTAAATGTGTTTCCAGATAGTCTTACTTTGAGTATCCTAAAATTCTTGAAGACATTTGGCACTGCTGACAGAAAATTAACTTGCGATTTATTCAAATTATTCTTTGTGAGGAGAAAAATAGCTCAGTAGTTGAGTGGAAACAAAATCCCTAATGTTTCTTATTTGTCTAATTGCTTTATCAAGGAATAAATATAAACAATAAAATAGATGGTTGAAGAAAGATACAAATCATGCTTATGTTCATAGGCTTCCTCCCACTCTACATAGCTTTACAGTTGCTATTTTGAGCCCATGTATGCTCTATCATTACCAACATTTATAAAATGTAATAGTTACCCACTCCTTATTGTTTTCTCCTCCTTCTTCTACTTTACTCTTTCTTCTTATATCCTTCTTCTCTCCTTTTTTCCTTTTTCCCTCTACTCTCCTCTGCCTTCCCTTTTCCAACAAAAATATCCCTTTTAAGCATTTTCTGAAGATAGGATATTGTTGGTTCAAAGATAGGTTGTAAATAGTGCATTGAAAGTATAGAATGGATTTTAAAAATTAGAGTTTATTGCAGAGAATCCACAAGGAGGATGGATATCAAAAGGATGTTCTAGAAATGATAAATCCATCAATCTGTCTGGAATGAAAAGAAATAGTGGAAGGTAAGAGATTGGCCAGGT